AAGTACACAATATTAGGATGACAGTCTTCTTGACTTGATGTTAACTTAAAACGTTTGCAATAATGAGTCCAATCTCCGACAATGCCCTTCATCTTACATGAAGGGCGAAAGCTTAAACCATTTTCCCTCTAAACAAGGAAGGATATCTCGTGGACAGTGTGAACCTGAAGGTCGTATGAAAGCCAAATGGCTGCATAACAACGCGAATCCGCCTTCATCTTCCGGTGAAACTAATCAACGGATCCCTTCAGCTCCAGGAATACGGTCTTCCGGTGAGAGTGACCTACGACTCATTTCATGATGCATTTTCACACCAAATGAAATTATCCACAACATTTTAGTGTGGTAGCATAGAGTTAATGATGATGTCCAGCAAGAAAATAAACCATTGGCCCATACAAAAGCGCCGACTTACCTCCTCTAGAGGCGGACGGAAGCCCAGCCGGCCCTGTTGGTACACAGCGACCACCTGCAGCTCCGACATCTGCTCAGACAGGCTCTCCAAGCCTAGACGAAACTGTGCCTCCAACGCTTTGTAAAGCTGACGGTCTAAATGAGCTCGCCAGGGAGCCATGTGGCTGGCCGGGTAGCCATAACGCGAGCTGAGGTCGGCCAGAGCGAAACGCAACTCGGCTAAAGTGTCCTTCCATCGGATCTGGTCGCGTAGAAGATCAGCCGAGAAGAGTTGAACTATCTGGATAGGGGCAAATACAATGGGGCAAAGGGCGATTGGGGAGGTCCATAACCCACAGAACTAGTCAATAAAGGATAGGACTAGATTATGCTTTTACGGCGAGGCAAATTTGACTGTGTTACTTATATTCATATAAAGTAGGTATCAAAACTACTATGAGAAATTTAATTAGCACTGTATCCCCCTTGGACCGCATAAGGTGATGAAGGACTGATATTTATATTTCATAACAATTGTATGTGGAGTTCCCACTTTTCCAGTGAATGTCACATGGCCTTAGCTTTCCAAAAGTTATTCATATCCGGTTTTGACTGGCGCTTGGGTCTCATCAATACCCTCAGAAATGTTTTTTTCGTTTTTTTTCGATAATATTAGTATGGGACATTTGTTTAATTGTTTTTAGAGGTATTGTGTTTTGTAGAAAGATGTTGAGTAGGCTGATCGAATGTCATGCCTATTCCCTGTAATAAGTTATTTGTATTTGTATTTTTTCCTGTGTCAGTTAAGAGCCGAATACTAAGTACACTTTTTAAGAACTGAAAGAGGACGTCAATAAAATACCTCAAGAAAACTAATCGAAATCCAAGAGGAAATAACCATCGTTTCTAGGAGGCTCCGCAAAATATTACATGTCCAGTATCCTCTGCGATAACAGTCCTGATAATTTCCAGCGTCGGACCGTCGA